ACATTTCCCCGTTGTGTGTGGGCAGGCCGGCCAGGGACAGCGATGACGAGGACGAGGACGAGCGCCGGGGCCGGGGCTGCACTCTGCAGTACCAGCACGCCATGGTCAGGGTGCTCACCCAGTTTGTGGCCGAATCCACCGAGCCCGGGGCTCCTGTGAGCCATTTGCTGGGCTCAGACTGGCAGCTGGACATCACCCACCTGGTGAGGGACTCCATGCAGGTGGAGGAGCCCAGGATTGCCCAGCTGCAGGACGGGCAGGTGCTGGTGGGGCTGGAGCTGGGCATGACCACCATCCAGGTAAGGAAATCACTGATGTGTGCCTGTTCCTGCCCTGAATCACCTCCATGAGCCAGCGTGACCAAAAACAGCTGGAAATCCTGGAATTGACTCATTGATTCATGATTTCATAAACCATTTTTTTCCCTTTATTACTCTCAGTTCCTTTTTTAGGGAACCAACCATTACCAGTTTAGTGTCGCTGTTGGCCAGACAGCCGACATAAAAGAATAGATACAAAACACACAAAAAGTGGGTGRAAAAACAGAAAGAAAGAAGGACTTTATTGTGGGACAAGCCTCTTTTATCCACTTTAACAACCAGTGCATACATTTGTGTCAAACATACATTGGTCAGTGAGGCTGTCCCTTTCTACTCATCACCATAGGACTGGCAGGTTTGCAAAATCTACAGTATTAGTGATGTTTATAATTGTAAAACACCTGCATTATCAATTCTACATTCCAATCTTCTTTTTCTCAAGACAGCCAAGGATGTGGCGTTTTATTCCCATGCAAGCTGTTAACACGCCCTACAGTTTAGGACTTGGCCATGTCTTCATCAGTCCCTGCTTGGTGTTTGTCCTTGTGTTTCTGTGTACATTTGAAATTTTGGAATGGAACAGAATCAATGCAACAGCTACAAGAGATGGTTTCCTCTGCGTATCTTGTGCCCCAAAGTATCGTAGATTATTTTTTATTTATAGTTTTATTTATTTTTATTTATAGTTTTTATTTATAGTTTTATTTCATTTAATCCAACCTGAGTGTTGGAAAGGTTTCGCTGATTATTTTGGGCTGTGTTTGAACCCAAAGCCAGGATCTGGGTTATCACACAGCCTGATCCCAGCCTGCTCTGACAGAGCAAAGGGAGGAGTGAAAATGAACCAGGCTGGCTAAGGAAGTGAGGCTGCAATTTAATCCAAATATTAATTAAMAGAAAAGGAAAAGGAAAAGGAAATGGGGAGAGAGATTAATTCAGTGATACTGATGTAGAAAACATGCTAACAAGGACTAGAACAGGGAACAAAATCCTCTCCAAACATGCTTATCATCCCAAACTGTCAAAGCAGAAAACAACCACCACACCTGTTGATAATGAGGTTTCAAGGCTGGAAAAATGGGATTTGAGATCTTTGACTTTCTGCAAAATCTGTGAAGATTTTCTGAATGCCTTTCCAAAGCTGTGGAACTTACAATGCTCCAACCAGTGCACATAAAACCATGGAAAGGAAAATCCAAGGGTAAAGAGCTGAGAGTAAGTTTTATTTAAAGAATACCTCTTATAAGCTGCTTCAAAAATGCTCTGTACCCTGTATGGATCATTAAATTCCACTCGCTTGCTAATGAGCATCTTTGGATGTCGTGTATCACTGCAGTGACCTCYGTGTGTATTTTCTTAACCAAAACAAATTTTCTCTGTCAATTTTGTATTCAGTACCATGAGTGGTTATTGTAGCAATGCATTACCTTTTCTTTCCACGGGCTAGAAATAAATACCATTTATTCAATGGATTTTTTAAATAAATCTRCAGACTGCTTTACATTTGTGCCACCTCAAAGCATGAGGATTAATAAAATACTTGAATTTCAGATGAGGATTCCATTTACAGGTAGTTAATGCACCTGAAGCAGATGTGGCTATCACACTGCACAGTGAATGGCACAGCTGGTTCCAGATGTTTGGTGGAAGGTGTAAGGAGGGCCCTGTTGTTGCAGAACAGTGTGAGCAGCTCTTTTCAGTCATATTTAACAGTGTCTGCTGTGAGTAATTGTCACCATTAGCACCAACACCCCTCCTGTGTGTGGGAGTGGCTCTGTGGGGTTGTTYCTCCTGTGGCTGTCGCTAATTCCCGTTTTTCTGTGCAGATCCTGTCCCCCCTTTCCGATGCCATCYTGGCTGAGAAGACAGTGACAGTTCTGGATGAGAAGGTGACAATAACTGACCTGGGAGTGCAGCTGGTGACAGGACTGTCCCTCTCTCTGCAGCTCAGCCCGGGGAGCAACAGGGCCATCTTTGCCACGGCGGTGGCACAGGAGCTGCTGCAGTCCCCAAAGCAGGTACTGCTGCCAACTGGTCACTGCTTTTGGGATTTCCAGCTGCAGATTTTTACTGATGGTGTGCTAATGAAACCTTCTGCCTGCAGAGACTTCCCTGAAGGCCACCCAGTGCCCTAAACAGGAAAACAAAGATG